TAAAGGAGCACATTTCTCACCTGTGTTAAATGTATTTTAGAGGCCAACCTGTTATTTGGCTGAAAGGTGACCACCTGGAGTGGCTTCGCTCCAGATAAACAGGGGATCCCAGGGCAATAGGCTCCTAAGGAGAAGGACCCGGCTTCTTGCTCCCATAAACAGTTACAGGGTGTCAGACTCACTGGAGCAGTTCTGCCCTGTCCCAAAGAGGCGCTACGAATCGGCATCAACTCCAAGGCACTGAGTCTGGTTTTTTTGGTTTTGGCAGGCAATAGTCTCAGGGGTTCTCCTTACCTTTGTCAGGCTGATCTTTTTTTTTTTTTAATTAATTTGAGCCTTGTTCTACTTTTGTTTCTCCCATTATAACAGGGACCTTCTATTGCGTCCTTGACTGGAATTGTTGTAGTTCCTGTGGTGTATTCTTTTAAAGTAAGTCCTTTATTCATTTCTAAACCTTAATTTTATATATTTTGTTGAGAATCTACTCAGCCAAGCGTGCACCCCCCTGCACAGTTTCTGCCTGTGCTGTTGAGTACCACTGACGGCCTTCTTTGGGTTGTGTGAGACCCCCCTCCCCCTCCTTGTCTGCTCTGTTCCTCCCCCACTCGGTCTGGTTTTGGGAGTTACTACTTTCCATTTGATTTCACATGCAAATGAGCCCTTCTTTAAGTCATGCCACGTGTAAGTATTCTCCCTTATTACTTACTCAACTGTGGTAGGAAGAGGAAAATATGAAAGAACTTCCAAAAAAGTTCATGGAAAAGCGGAATCAAAAGATAACCTTTCTGTTTCAGTTGTAAACTTTATTTCACCACCTGTTCCGTCCAGGTTAAGCCACTTTGGCGAGTACTGATACCCGCCCGTTAGTCCATGCCTAAACAACTGAGGGTTCTGGGAATTTGACCATGTCGGTGTAGTGTTGTTGTTTTCCCCCCATTGTTAACAGAAGAAAAATGGGTGCTTTTTAAAGAACTTTTTTCTAGGATTAAGGAACAAAAAGAACTTGGAAGGAGCCAGGTCTGTAAGGTGGGTGCCTAACCATAGGAATCGCCCTTTTGACTGAAAGGACTGAGGGGGCGCTTTGTGGATGTGGAGAAGGAAGGGCTTCTTGGGAAAGCCTTCCTGGATGTTCTTCCGCTAATGCTTTGCGTACCTGTCTCAAAACTCTCATCATAAGCAGATAGTACTACTCTTTGGTCCACCCGATATTCAACAAGAAGATGGGTTAAGCATCTGCCAAAACTTGTCACAATCTTTGGGTGAAGGTTTACAGAGAAAGATGGTCAGTTTTACATTTAACAATTCAAACACATTTTGTTTCATTCTGTTGATTATAACCTGCAGTGTAACACCATTTATCCCATCGGCTCCCTCTGTTTCCGGTTTCCATTTCTCCTTCCTTCCTTCCTAACCTGCCTGAACTGGGTCCTTGGGTAAATGTTTCCTTTTTTATCTCAAATGGTTGATTACTCTAAGGTATGTGTACCTCCCTAGTGTTCTCCTCCCGCCCCTTCTCCTTATAGATCTATTGTTTGGCTGAAAATTGAGCCATGGGGTGAATTCATTTCCAGACCTGAAGGGTGTCTACGGGCTATAGTCTTGGGGGTTCCATTAGTCTCTAGCCAACCTGATCCTTTTTGATTTTGAGTTTGATTCCACGTTTTTCTCCCACTGTATTCGGGACTTCGGAATACACCCCCTCTAGGAGCCGTGGTCGTGGTAGAGGTAGCACCATCTGGTTATTTTGGTCTTGGGGTCGTGGAGGCTGATGGTTGAGGATGACCTTTGCTCGGAGTCGTCTGCGTGTGCTTTGATTGGACCACTTCCACCTCTTGGTAATTGTCTTGGGCATCATACTGGTTAGCTCTGTTTCATCACCTCATAAGAGTTCCTCAGATATCCCACCTGTTTTAAGATTTCCATAGAAATTTCTGCACTGCTGGAAACACAGGGAATCCAGGACAAACCCTTCAAGACCAATATTGAGAGTAGCCAAACCAAAAAGGTAAGGGGACGGTGGGGTTCAAAAGGGGAACTGATCACAAGGATCTACATATAACCCCCTCCCAGGAGGACGGACAACAGAAAAGTGGGTGAAGGGAGACATTGGTCAGTGTAAGACATGAAAAATATATATAAATTACCAAGACTTCGTGAGGGAGGGTGGAGGAGGGAGGGGATAAAATGAGTGATACCAAGGGCTCAGATAGAAATGTTTTTGAAAACGATGATGGCAACAAATGTACAAATGTGCTTGACTCAATGGATGGATGGATGGATTGCTTTAGCTGTAAGAGCCCCCCAATACAATGATTTTAAAAAAAGAAAGAAAGTTCTACACTGGTCCGTAACAGTTTTGGCACCAGTTTTGGTTACAGTTTTGGTAACGGTTTTGGCAGAAAGTTCACTCAACTTTAATTTTTCAGTCAGAAGCATGTATGCTGACTGAACTAATGAAGATGTCGACGGCGCAGTTATTTCTGCCCTGATTGTGCAGCCATCTTCTGAGACATTTTTCACCTAAAAATAATTTAATAGACGGCGCTAAAACATGAAAGCTCTCCGAAAAATACGAATGCCATGAAGGCGGCCAATACCATCCGCACACCTAACAATTTCCTCTCCCGTAATTCCATCAGGTCATTTGTACTCAGCTTTCCAGCTGCTCCCCACCTGCTACATCCTTCATCCACGGCTGCATTGTTCTCTCTAGAACCCCCACTCCGTCTCCCCTTGCTTTAAAAAATGAGTTTCAGTTCTCCGGTAAAATTCCCTGTCTTGTCAGCTATGTTGTTGCCCATACTAGCTATTGTAAAACCTGTGTGTGACGATAGGCCTACCACCAGGAACAACTCGGGGATTCTGTGAAGTGTCTGCAATTGTCTTTGACCCCCTTTCTTGCTGTGCCTGGAGATTTTTGACTGAATTCCAGACATTGTGTATGAAAAACCGGAGAGACTCTGGATATAACCTCATTTCCTTCAGAGAGTACATTCCTGAGCTGGGAGGGAATGGGAGTCCGTTGACCACACCCTAATTCAGTTAGGGTTTGCACTGATTCAGAAAGAGGTCCTGAACTATGGTTTCTTAGCTACCACTCTTTTTTTACGTGGCATTTCTGCCTCTTGGTCTCAAGAAGCTACGAAAACGCAGTGCGTTGTTTCTCTGGCCCCCTCGCCTTTCCTCCCCAGGATCTTGATTCCCTGAGACTCGAGTTCAGTTGTGCTGTCAAATGGAACTCTCCTTTTGGTCTCCATGGTTCTGTCAGCCCCTTAACCTCGCCAAGTCCCTGCTCGCGTTTCCAGGCCCCTCGTTGGAGTGTTTACGAGCTGGGCTGCTAACCACAAGGTCAGCAGTTTGCGACCACCACCCGCTCCACAGGAGGACGAGGCCGACAGCTCCCCTAAAGAGTCACAGTCTCAGAAACCACAGGGGCAGTTCTACCCTGTCCTGCGGGTCGCTCTGCGTTGGGATGGCCTCAATGGCAGTGAGCTTGGTTCTGTGGATTGGAGCCTGCGGCGGCAGCGTTAAAACAGCCAGGGCCTCCAGGGCCCGCTCCGCGGTGCTTTCTCCCTTTCTAGGGTTTTTGCTTGTGAGATTCCTGGCTGCCGTGGAAGTTTTCTGTTGCCTTTTTCTTAAAAAAGGGAAACATCAACTCTCCTTGTTCTCGTCAGTTCTCCCACAAGGTGGTCTGTCATAGTGGGAGGCAGAAGCCTCCTTCCCAGGAATTGTTCACTGCCTTCCCCTCTCTCTGCCCTGTCTTTTCTTGTCACCTCCCCAGTTTCTCAGACCTGAGATTGTATACCGCCCTCCAGCAGCTGAGAACTCCCTCTGCCATCCTTTATCTCTGGCCAACCCGGCAGTACATTGTCCAGCCATTCCCATTGTCCACCTCTCTTGGATTCCACTGGCTCCTTTGCGCTTCCCTGTCTCTGGCACCCACCTTGCAAAATCCTGCCTCTGGCTAAACCCAACTCTGCCTGCCCCATGCCGAGACCCAAGAGAAGGATGTGCTGACAGACTTCAAGTGGTCCTTAGCACCTCCAGACGATCTCTCTCTGCATTGTGGTGGGGCAGTGGTTACGCGCACAGGTCAGTGTTTCGAGCCTACCAGCTGCTCCTTGGGAGAACAGACCTGGTGCTCTACCCCCAGAAAGTGCTCTACACTCTGTCCCATAGGGTCTCTGAGTCATACTCAACTTGATGGAAGTATATAAGACAAGCAAGGCCCCCACTCCCAGCTAGATACATAGGGGAGCTGGACAATACGCAAGTCAACAGCTGACTGTGCAAACTAGTTTCCAGGAAGGATGCACACTCCGGAGAGGAAAGCTGGATGAGAGGCTCACTCACAGAGCTCACGGCTCTGTAGGTTCGGGTAGAACTGTCCCTGGGGTTTTCTGAGGGTCTATCTCTTTAAGGGAGTCGAAAGCCTCATCTTCCTCATGCAGAGCAGCTGGTGGTTTTGAACTGCTGGTCTTGTGATTAGCTGTCCAGTGCCTAACCCACTATGCCACCAGGGCTCTGGATGGCCTCGGGGCTAGAAGGTACTGTTGTAAGTGGGTGGTCAGGAATGACTTTCCCTGACCAGGTGAGGCTTGAGCAGGTCTTACAGGAACCACAGAAAGCGCAGTGCACAGGGTTGAGGGAGAAAAGCCTTCTGGAATAGGGAAGAGCAGGTTCCAAAAGGTGGGATCAGCTTTGCTACGTTCTTTGGAAAAGTCCAATCGTGGAGGCTGACTCTCCTAGGCTGTCTCTAATTTCTGGATCTTTGTTACTTTCCAAAAGCTTCGGGCAGATCCTCTGGTCTGTTTTATGGCTACAGTGTTTCCTAGAGTCTCTCCGAGGATGGGGGTGGAAGTGTTTATTTTGTTTCACATTTTCTTCTGAGCCCTGCGGCAGGTCATTTGCTTTGTTAGTTTCCGTCAGGCTTGCTTCCCCCCTGCCGGCTGGAGAGCGTGCTGCCCTTCCTTCGCTGAACAATGAGACACTCACGTGCCGAGGATGAACTGAGGATGCTAACGTGTGTGAGTCGGGATGGACTGGACATACCTTAGGGCACATCCCAGGGGACTTCAAAAAGTTTGCAAGGAAAAGGAGTTAAAAGATAATGGTTTTTT